GTTTAAATAAATTCTCTACAGGACTATTTTCAGTGATTTATACCTCTATGTTATTACGCATGTTATTAAGCATATAAGCATGTCAGTGTTATTATAATTATCGGCAATGCACTACTAATATTTGATGAACGGAATCTGATGACGTAATCCTCTGACATTCAACAAAATTAGGAATTTGTGGGATAAATTTCTTTATGAAACTACTCATACTATTGGTGAACTTTGTGTTGCGCTGTAGGTTTGCTGACAACGCACACGGTTATGTTGGAGCAGATTTAATGGCTGTTGTTAAAGAAGCAAGCATGGTTGCATTAAGGAGAAACTCTCAGAATGTCCACCAACCGAGCGATAATGATGAGTCTGGAAATAGTGCCCATTTTGTCCTTTCGATGAACGACGTCAGAGAAGCATTTCAACATGTGCGACCTAGTGGTTTGAGAGAAGTTGCTATTGATGTTCCCAAGGTGCGCCTTATAGTGTATTTTGGTTTTGTTGCGCAGTATGAAATCAAGGACCCCCAACTTTAGAGGAATGAGGCCCACCGGGGTATCACTCCTGGCAAGAAGGGATGCTCTCTTCACTTGGAGAAAACTACATTCTGTTTTCTTTCTCTGAACTTGAACTCTTCTCGGTTGACTCATAGCTGGTTATGGGTCCGGAGTTCCACATCACCCTAACACCGCGGTCAAACGTCCGCGCTTATTTACTGCTTGAATTGAAAAGACTGGAAACAGTATTGTCTTCACGAAGCTCTAGCAAAAAGTTTAAAGAAAATTACGAGTGTTTAAACTCAGTACAACTTTGTCTTGACACAAGGAAAAAGCGGTGCAATTCCCTACCTTATAACTTCAGCCGTTTCCTTACAGTCAATGCTTTTCTTGTCCCGTATTTACTCCTATTATTTTGGCAGACATTTTTCCCGCCATTTCCGTATACTCGCGCATGCGCTTTTCGTTTGACCGCGGTGTTCATCACCCTAGCAAATGCCCCCTATAGTTCCCCTGCAATCGAGATCTCCTTCAAAGCCATGTTGCCTGGAGCTTTTGTGAAGAGCAACTATCATTCTATCTTTCAAGGTTTACTGGAATGATATTGGTGGGAACGCAACAGTAAAACAAAAACTGAAACAAGCAATAGAATGGCCGCTCAAACACCCTCAGGTAAACATTCATGCGTTAAGAATAAGTCTACAGGGTGCGACAATTTGCGTACTTAAATACGACAATATTACGGTCTGGTACATCTGTTCGGGGCCGCCGAGGTTCAGGGGCGCCGAGAGAGGGGGCACATTGCCCCCGGGCCCCCAAAGCAATGGAGGCTCTTAAAATTTCTTGATACAACATTGCTTAACAGAGAATGTAAATCCTAGCTGCGTAAGTGCCGGATGATATGCAATAAAGTGTCATATATTATAAAACACCGCTTCTCCCCTTCATAATTATGACGTCATAGGGCCCTCTTTGGACAATTTTTAAATTTGCTGTTAGGCTGCAAAAATTTGGGCATATCCAAGTGGGGCAAATTTGGCTGTTTTTGGCATTCGGATTAACATGTGAGAAAATTGTCGTCGCTGACCAAATTTAACGCGGACGATAATTGCCAGCAAAAATTGTGAAACCAACAAAAACACAAATTTCGCTACCCTGTTTCTCGTACTGCAGCGGAGGAAAAGTAAAAGTAAGCTAGCAGACGTAAACGTTAATAAACGTTAATCAAGACCACAATTACTTGTCGCAATCAGGAAATTAGCAGTCAAGAATTCTTCGCTGAAACATGGCCGAAATGACGTTTCTTGCAAAAAATGTGTTTTTGATGGCAAATAACCTCGAGCAGGAACTTAATATTGATGGAATATTACTTGAAATTTGCAGTACATGCGTTTGTTGTCCAGGACAAAGTATAAATATTTGTTTTTTGAGTGATAGTGCGTGAAGCAACCTGATTTAGTTTCGCCTCAACACTTTTTCACCTTGGGTCATTTATTGTGTTGTTTGTTCATGATTGTAGTCTTGATGTTTATACGGCAATTTTGACTGATCATTTTTTCTTTGCTGTAGGCATTCACTCGTATGAATATTGACCCGCCGAAAGGCATTCTTATGTATGGTCCTCCAGGATGTAGCAAAACTCTTATTGCAAAAGCATTGGCAACTGAAAGTGGATTAAATTTTATTGCGGTGAAAGGTCCTGAAATATTCAGTAAGTGGGTTGGAGAATCAGAGAAGGCAATACGACAGGTAATCAACAGTTTTACTAATCTGAAAGATTTTGAAGTAAAGTTATGCTAATTTGGACTTTCAAGTTTGCGATACTAATAGGAAATTGGGCTGGTGAAAAAAGAAAGTCGACTTCCCGGTTTTGCATATGATTTTGGCGTAACCGTTGTACTGAATGCACTCGTCATGTTCCTAGCCAGTACGTTTATGAGGGGCATTCACCCTTTGGAAATGTTCAAAATGCCGTATTTTCCGGGCAGTGAATGCCTCTCATAAGTGCACTGACTCTAGGAACATGGCGAGTGCATTTTGATGATGAATCATTGTGAATCATGGCAAAGATTAGATACGATAAAGATTTGCCACTCTGCGAAAATTATGTCCGAGATTTTTTTTATAGCCGCCATTTTGCCAGTAAGTGTCAAATCCAACGCCATCAGTCTCTAAATAGTAAAATCCAACGCCATCAGTCTCGCCGCCATTTTGGCAGTAAGTGTTATGCACTCGTCATCTCGCGTGATCACTCGTGATCAGCACGGAAAATTACGGACACGCAAACATTAGGGAAATACGTCGGGTGGCACATCTTTATCGTATCTAATCTTTGATCATGGCGTGGTGGCGGTTACGATTTTTTGGCTGAGTCGACCTTCTGTAAGGTTCCTATTCTGTGCCACGAACGTTTAAGGGCTGGCTCCAGAAGAAAGCGTGCTATTCCGTCATCATCCCAGCCTAGTCATTTTGCCGTCGAGTTCGAGGCGGAAGTTTCCTTGCGACTTAAAGCCGGTTTTCCACTAGGCGGAATTTTGCGCGCAGAACGGACTTTTTCTTTTTTAATTAGTTCCACCCGAGAAATCACAAGACGAAGAAAAATTCCGCTCCGCGCGCAAAATCCCGACTAGTGAAAACCGGCCTAACGCGCAGTTGAGACGCCTTTTTTAATGCTCTATTCAATGGTCTTTCAGATTAATCAAGTGACATTCTTTCCTAGGTGTTTCATAAAGCACGCACGGCCGCTCCATGTGTAGTATTTTTTGACGAGATTGATGCAGTAGCAAGCAAACGTGGTGGTAACGATGGCGATGTGTCTAATGTCTCTGAACGTGTTTTAACGCAGCTTTTAACTGAACTGGATGGTGTCGAAACATTGAATGACGTCACTTTAGTTGCAGCCACAAATAGACCTGATGTCATCGATAAAGCTCTCATGCGTCCTGGTCGCATTGACCGTATTATTTATATTCCACTACCTGATGAAGAAACAAGAACTGAGATATTTAATATTCAGTTACGAAACACACCACTTGCTCCTGCCGTCAACATTGATGACATCATAGCTCAGACACAGGGGTATTCTGGGGCTGAAATTACAGCGATATGCCGTGAAGCTGCATTAGCTGCTCTACAAGAAGACATCAATGCTATACATGTCAAACATGAGCATTTTGTTCAAGCTTTACAAACTGTTAAACCAAGAATATCTGCGGATCTTGTTCAGTATTATAGCAAGTTTCAGGAGCAGTGTGGGATACATAGTTTATAGACAATACAATATGTGGGAGGCTGTTGTGGTGCACAAGACTTGCATCTCTGCATGAGAGATTTTTATTGAAAAATATGGACGGACGATTGACAAGTGTATCCCCAAAGCTCTCACCAGAAAGTATTGGAACGAGACATTGGCGTACGCAGTGAGAGAAAACATCAGGGGGTGGGGTGGTGCTGGGGGGGGCGTTGGGAGTGAAAGAAATTTGCCCGGTTGTTTTGCATTTTTATGAGTTTTATGGAGAGGACAAACATTTTGGGAGGGTTACAGTAAATATTTTTGCCACATTGCATATTTCTTGCGTTTTCGACAATGATCTTACATATTTCTTGCTTTTCAATTTTTTGGGGGGTGAAACTGGGCGAGATTGGAACGAGATTGAATTTTCCTTCTCCTGGTATATTTTTTAACACGTGTTGCTAGATGTGGTCCTTCGCTCGAAACGTCAAAATTCTTTTGTATTTTTCAGGTAGTTGAATAGACTTTTCACAGTTGAAAACTTGTATTAAGTTCTTATGCCAGTATTTGAGTATTTCTTCAAGAATCAAGTGAACATGAATTTGCTTCTGCACATCGAATTTTGGAACATACACTCATGAGTGAGTATTTCAAAGACTTAGTATAAGCACAGTTATTTTGATAGATGGTTTGGAGACTCGATGAAAGTACAATATAACTCATTAACTATGTTATTGTCCAGCTTTATGCAAGAATTTGGTCCTATCTCGTCACGTGTGTATTGTATTTTCGCTCAAATAACCAATAACAAGTTTGTGGTTGAGGTATCCATCCGTAACTTGAACAAATGCTCAATTTAAACATTGTTATTGGTTGTGCGGGAAAAAAATACAATACACACGTGACGAGATAGGCCCAAATTCTTGTATAAACCGAAACCAACATAGTTAATGAGTTATATTGTACTTTCATCGAGTCTCCAAACCATGTATTCTATTAACTGTGGACCGATCTATACAACATGCGCTGAATGCTAATATAAGCACATTTACACAATATTCGCGGGAATTAGTAGAAGGATAAAACTACCGGGAAAATATAGAAAATACAGTACTTCGACGATTCGAGCGACCCTTGATCTTGAAGTTGGGAAAAACTTTGAATAACTTCCAGACGAATGACTCAAAACGTCCAAGTATTTTCTCTATATTTCAGGTTATCCTTCACGCAACTTTTTGAATACTGTTTACATGCTGCTACACTGCAAACCCACACTCTCGTCATACAAACCTTTCCTGTAAATCCGTTGAATTGATCACATCGGAAACATTCGTATTTTGTAGAATAGTTCTGATGCAGTCTGTGTGACCATTGTAAGCTTAAAATATATAAGGTTTCATGTAAGGTTTATATTATTACTGTGAATATAAAGAGACTGTCGTTCAAAAACCCCCGAAAATGTTAAGAAGTAAAATAGAAACCAAAGAAACCAAGTGTGCAAGGATTTAAAATACTATCCAGTTTGAATTAAACTTTGAATTAAACGGCACATGCAAGTCACTTTTCCCATTATTAACTAAAGTATTTTAGGCCTGACTAGAATATGATCATAGATAGTACAGTCCAACCTCTCTAGGGAGAGTCCGACGGTCCGTATTAGAGGTTTTTATAAACAATATAGAGCTTAAGCAAGCAACGTTTTTGACAACATGTACAGTACGTCAATCGATCCGTTATAATTGGCGAGTGTTAGCTTGCGTGGGGGGGGGGGGGGGGGGGGGCTAGGGCCGTTACGCAGACTAGGCGAGTGATGGGTCAGCACTTTAACGGTTCGATTGACTTCCGGTTGGCGTACTGTACGTGTCCAAAAACGTCGCTTGTTGAAACTCTCTAATGTGCGAGAATATGTCCGGGATATTGAAAAAATGTGTGTAACAGAGAAGTATCTGTTCTAGGGAGGTGGTATGAAGAGGATTGGATAAATGTTTATTCAGTCATATACAACATGGTGGCGAGAAACAAAAGCAAAATTGTTGTGTAATGTAGTTGGCATTTCCTCACCAGCAGCGTGTAATGGTGTTCTTCTCATAACAGCATCATGGACTAAAACTGTCGCACCATGCATCAACAAGATTTCGACACATTCGCTGTAAATACATAACAATGAAGATAAATTTAGAATCTAGCATAATAAAGCAACCATCCAATGAAATCATCTCGTCCAGTCACTCAACCGTGCTACTTGCTAAGCGAAATTTCAAAAGATTTGTGCACGGTAAAACCGTCTCAATATAAAATCATGACTCATTATAGAGACTTTGAAGTTTACCGAGTTCCCAGACCATATCTCGATAGACTAACAACGTTTTAGTCGTGACCATAATGTAAACTACTGTACTTACCAATGACCATGCGAGGCAGCTAAATCTAAAGGAGTACGACCTATGAAGAAAAAATAAAAATAAAATATTTTGTCATTTAATGACAAAAACGTGATATAATACGTCAGTTGCGTATGTCATCGGGGGTGCGAATTTTAGTTGCCAACACCTTAATTGCACCTTTCTTGCTCCGCATATCAGCTCTTGAAACGTTTTGCGGTACATGTCATGCAAGTTTACATAAATTATAGCTTGTCAAGGCTTTCAAGATCGTTACAGCTTTGTTGCGCATTTAATCAGCTGTCACTCAATGGGTTAGTGTCCTGGTTTCTCCCCTAGTGTCAGGAAATAACTTCCCGGACACTAGATATTGGAGAGGTTCGGATTTGACTAACCAATCAGAGGTTCGGATTTGATTAACCAACCTATTTTAACCAATCAGATGCGTTTGGTATATCCGATTAACCAATCAGATGCGGCGTACTAAGACAGTGAGAGGTAGTGGAAGTCAAATCTGAACCTCTCTATTCCCTAGCAGACGCTGTCTACACTAATTCATACACACCATTAAATGCTGCACACTTGAACTAAGGTTCAATACTTTTCGTAAAATGCATAATTGGGGCAGGTTGTACGAAGGCCAAATAGCGTTATCCGGCGGACAATTTTTCAACCTTTCTAAAAATGCCTGAAAAGCTATGAAACCTTTGATAAGGACCTCGCAATTAATAAAAAATAAACTTTAATTTATTAATACTCAAGTTAAATATGGGTTATACCAGTCAACGGATAATTTCAGAAAGCTTGAAAAAATCGCTATCCCTGGTATAGAACCAGCCTCTGGATAGCAGCGTCAAGACTGACAAACATAAAAAATTACCATCACTATCTTGGACATCAGGACTGATTGCTGACTGTAGTAGAGCATCGAGGGCTGTGAAGTGGCCGTTAAACGCCTAAAATAATATAAAACGACTATCGTGCAACTGATCTAGTATTACCAAAACCAAAGAAAGAATTCTTAAAAGAAGTTTAAATACAATGGAGCTATCCATTGGAATAATCTGTCTATTGAAGCAAAAACGCCAAAAAGCGTTGATTCCGTTTATTCATTCAAGAGAATTATAAAATCTACGGCGAGGTGAAGCTGACTTGTCCTCAATAATATTTATTTGTTTCGTTTATATATTTTTGTCTACCTGTTAGTCTTTGTATGCTTCATGTAACTTTAATTTGTACATATTATTTGTGTAATTAGTTAGTTAACACGCCCCTCATGAAAAACAGCTGATGTTGATGAGGCTAGCGTTTTAAAATAAAGTATTATGTATGTATGTATACATGGTTTGCAAACTCTCACTTTCATCAAGGGCTAACTACTGTAATGTTGCAAAGTGTTTCTATACTGTATACCATGACGACACAAATCACGTGTTTCCAAACCATGTATTTTACGTAATATTTCAATTTTCAAATCCGACTATGAGGACTGGATTAGATTTCAAGTCCGCTCAATTTGATCAAGCCCGAGGAGAAGCCGAGGACTGGATAAAAATGCGAGGACTGAAATCTAGTCCAGTCCGAATTGGAGGATTTGAAATGACATCTCATGCGAATAAATCACTACTTAATTAATTTTGATTCAGTCCAAGGACTGAATTAATTTGGATCCAGTCCTAGGACAGGATCAATGTACTTCATCAGGGGCCGGTTGTATAAAACTCTTAATCACTTTTTTAATCACTATTTAGTAGTTAAATAGTGATTAACTCTCAAATACGCGCTTCTTATTGGATGACGTTTCCACTTAATTATAGTTAACTTTAATCACTTTTTTATACAACCGGCCCCAGGTTTCCAGTATTATCATGTGAGCAAAATAAAGCAATATGGTTGGCTAATTTACTCATGAATTATTAATGAGTTTGACATTGTATTATTACAGAACCATCCTTCATATTTCTCTGATGAACACGGCAACTCTTCGCAATGATAGCGTTACGTCCTCCAGAAAATATTTCGTACGCTTGAAATGGTTAAAACTCGCCTAGAGACGGACCGGGGTCCCCAAGGTCCGAGTTCAAATTCGACAGTGTAAGAAATCGTGTTGGAAACACTCTCTATACTGTATTATAACAAAGGTGAAGTAATACTTACCGCTAAATGACATGGTGTTAATGATGGTGACCCAGAACTAATGTTAAAAATGTCTGCAGAACAATGATCTAATAACTAAAACAGAGTAACATATTGCGTGTTATTTAAAGAGATTTATGAATGGTGCCATTTAATACCGTCATGTGCCCCTAAGGATAAACAGTCGATGCTAAAAACATTGTCGTACTTCAATGATTTCAATGAGCATTTACGGTTTCTAGCTTATTCAATCTGAGAACAGCAAGAATAAACCTTGCAAAATGATACTACAGTAGGATATTTCAATTAATATTTCAGTGCACCCAGGATCTTCTGATCCGGGTTTGCAGTTAGCTGAAGTCATTTTCAGGAGCTTTAACGTAGCTTTAACTCTCTTCGGTCCTAGGGGTGGTTGGGATCAGTTAATTTAATTATTAAAACCTGACTTTAACTACTACAACTTTACCAACTGAATCAGGCCTGGTTACAAGGCAAAGTCGAAAAAAGTGATAACCCAAAAAATTCTTCCGCCGGTTTGTTAATTAGACTTCTCTCTGAAATTATCATGGATATACAGTAAAAACACTAACCATTTCTATCGAGAGTTTATTTCCCTTCACAGAAGCATAATGAATGGCCGTAAATCCCTTCTTGTCTCTCTTACTCGCGTTGGCGTTATTCGTTAGTAGGTGCTCGACAACCCTAGAAAGTAAGAAATTAAAAATTCATATATTGATACAAAAACAGTAACGACAACAATGAAATACAGAGTTGCCAATTTATGGAATATGTTGCAACATACTGCACTACTGATGCTCCTGCAAAGTTTAGTTCTCAAACCCAAAAGCATACCAGGCTTTCATGGTTGAAAAAAGTGGTGCGACATTAGTTAGCAACTAGAAAATCAGCATTTTTTCAGGGACTTTAAAAATAATGGGGCTGGGCTTAGTGTTCACCATAATAAACAAACTTACGATATTTCATGGTATATTTTGGAATACAGTGGACATTTAATATCTTAAAACAGTTTTTGAAGTTTATATTCACGATCCTCACCCAAAATTTGACCTTAGATCACCTGAGAAAAACACTTACGCCGGTATTCTAAAAGCTCACTCGCACCTCTATTAACCGTGCTCACACTCACACTCAATGAGTGGAGGTTCAATCTGAGCTTCTATTGAGTGTCAACGCTGTTTTTATAAATAGCTGGAGGGTGAGTATAGTCACATAGTAAGGTACTACACTAACCCTCCAGCTATTCAAAAACAGCAACGAGACTCGAGAGAAGCTCAGATTGAACTTCCACTCATTGAGTGTGAGTGAGATTTTAGAATACGGGCATTAGACCTCTAGCCAGGGGTGTCAAAACATTGGGTCGTAAATATAATTTGTTCGGGGATTGCTTTCATTAAACCAGCTAGTGTAATTGTTATACACTGTTATACAGGGATAGTATCTACTACTCTACTGTATATCCAGTTAAAAACACGGTTTAAGTCATGAAGTGGACTACTCCAGGACAAAAACAAAAGGTTTTTTTTCAATTCGAGGCAGTTATATGCAGCTTAGGGGTGGAATACTTCAATTGATCCCAATAGTATATCATACTTAGCATCTTCATCATGGGCTGATGCATAGTGCAATGCTGTACAGGATTTCGTATCGGATTTATTAACACTACAACCAGATCCAACCAATAATACAACACTCTCGTAGTGAACATGACCAGCGGCATAATGAAGTGGAGTTCTACATGGAATGAAAAATACAGAAGTGCGATGGAAGGTCTCCATAGTTGCTCGTGTTCTACGCACACGTGCTAGATCCCCAGAATTTTTTTTTATGAAAAGCGAGGACTGCATGGATTCTTCTTAATTTACCCAATATTTAACAATTATTCGCCGAAGGCGAGGTGATTATCGGTGTATAAAAACCGAGACGAAGTCGAGGTTTTTATTCACGATAATCACCGAGCCCGAGGTGAATAATTGTTTTAGTATAATTTCAATTTTTAGGTGATTATTTGGAAAAAAAATTAAAAATGCACATTTCTTCGTCATTTAATTGACAAAACGGATTCGGCCGCCATTTTGAAAATCGCTTAGGTGATTATCGCGTAATAATCACCACAACGGCAACCAATCAGCGTGGAGAATTTTCAATAATCACCTATGTAATTATACTAAATAGTTTTATTCTTTACCAAACTTCAAGTGACATTAGTTGATCAAGTATGGCTAATGGTTTACTGATTTTCTCATGAATCTTCAGTGTTTATACTGTACGACGAGTATGTCATTTCCCAGTACAATACCTTCCAAATTTATCCGCCACGTGGTGATCAGCTCCATTACTCATGAGCAGCTCAAGACAATCTACATTCCTGAAAAGGATACAACATCATTAATACTATCTCATCAGCGCTTGGTATTCACTGTATGTCATACCTGAAGCAGGGCTTCTATAAAGTTAATTATTGGGATTTGGTATAAGTTAAGCGATGATCGAAGATGAACATATACTGTCCTGGGACCAAATGCATAAAGGCCGCGGATAGATCCACTTGGGGCCGGTTGTGTAAAATTCTTAACCAAAATATTTTAATTCTAAAATGTGCGATTTTGAATGGTTAACTTCAGGAACTGTAGTTAACTTCAACTACCTTTTTAAACTGTATACAACCGTCCCCGGATATACACTAGTAATTTTTCAACCTTTAATTTGTAAAAAAGATTGCAAAGCTGTGAAACAATAAACATGTAAGACCCTCGATAGATATACTGTATATACTAAAGGTATAAATTTCAACCGGCCCCTAGTCAGCATCGATAATATTAACAACACTGGTCAAGTTTCATTGTTAGGGTTAGGCTAGGGTTAGCATCGATGTTATAATAAATTGTGTTAGTGGACGAAGACAGCGAACTCCTATTTATACTGTACCTACCCACTACATGCTGCAGCATGGATACAAGTACGGTTGTTGTTATCATTGATATTTACTGACGCTCCTTAAAAGAAAACAGCCCAGTAAAAATACAATACAATAACTACATGTAAACTGTATTTTGGGTTTTTTTTATCAAAACTAATGCCGATCCAGCATTATGCCTCATTCACTCTCTCCTTGGCAGATGCGTTTGCGGTTTTAGTTCATTTAGAATTTTATAATAACATAACACGAGTGCTGTATACCCGAAATATGTAAGGCATTCGGGTAATTTCCCAATGTGTACCACGTACCCCCTCTCTCGCCGTTAAAAAATTAGTGTATAAGACTAATAAAAATGCCCGAAAACCCCCAAGATTAATACGACAAGCCTCTGCGGAGGAGAGTCACTGATCTAATAGTAGACTATGAAGAGAGTCACTGTAATAGTAGACTAGGAGGGGAGTCACTGATGTAATAGTAGACTAGGAGGAGAGTCACTGATCTAATAGTAGACTAGGAGGAGAGTCACTGATGTAATAGTAGACTAGGAGGAGAGTCACTGATGTAATAGTAGACTAGGAGGAGAGTCACTGATCTAATAGTAGACTAGGAGGAGAGTCACTGATGTAATAGTAGACTAGGAGGAGAGTCACTGATGTAATAGTAGACTAGGAGGAGAATCACTGATGTAATAGTACACTAGGAGGAGAGTCACTGATGTAATAGTAGACTACGAGGAGAGTCACTGATGTAATAGTAGACTAGGAGGAGAGTCACTGATCCAATAGTAGACTAGGAGGAGAGTCACTGATGTAATAGTAGACTAGGAGGAGAGTCACTGATCTAATAGTAGACTAGGAGGAGAGTCACTGATGTAATAGTAGACTAGGAGGAGAATCACTGATGTAATAGCACACTAGGAGGGAAGTCACTGATGTAATAGTACACTAGGAGGAGAGTCACTGATCTAATAGTAGACTAGGAGGAGAGTCACTGATCTAATAGTAGACTAGGAGGAGAGTCACTGATCTAATAGTAGACTAGGAGGAGAATCACTGATGTAATAATACACTGGGAGGAGAATCACTGATCTAATAGTAGACTAGGAGGAGAGTCACTGATGTAATAGTAGACTAGGAGGAGAATCACTGATCTAATAGTAGACTAGGAGGAGAGTCACTGATGTAATAATACACTAGGAGGAGAATCACTGATCTAATAGTAGACTAGGAGGAGAATCACTGATCTAATAGTAGACTAGGAGGAGAATCACTGATGTAATAATACACTAGGAGGAGAATCACTGATGTAATAGTAGACTAGGAGGAGAATCACTGATGTAATAATACACTAGGAGGAGAATCACTGATCTAATAGTAGACTAGGAGGAGAGTCACTGATGTAATAGTAGACTAGGAGGAGAATCACTGATCTAATAGTAGACTAGGAGGAGAATCACTGATGTAATAGTAGACTAGGAGGAGAGTCACTGATCTAATAGTAAACTAGGAGGAGAGTCACTGATGTAATAGTAGACTAGGAGGAGAATCACTGATGTAATAGTACACTAGGAGGGAAGTCACTGATGTAATAGTACACTAGGAGGAGAGTCACTGATCTAATAGTAGACTAGGAGGAGAGTCACTGATCTAATAGTAGACTAGGAGGAGAGTCACTGATCTAATAGTAGACTAGGAGGAGAGTCACTGATCTAATAGTAGACTAGGAGGAGAGTCACTGATGTAATAGTAGACTAGGAGGAGAGTCACTGATGTAATAGTAGACTAGGAGGAGAGTCACTGATGTAATAGTAGACTAGGAGGAGAGTCACTGATCTAATAGTAGACTAGGAGGAGAGTCACTGATCTAATAGTAGACTAGGAGGAGAGTCACTGATCCAATAGTAGACTAGGAGGAGAGTCACTGATCTAATAGTAGACTAGGAGGAGAGTCACTGATGTAATAGTAGACTAGGAGGAGAATCACTGATGTAATAGAACACTAGGAGGAGAGTCACTGATCCAATAGTAGACTAGGAGGAGAGTCACTGATCTAATAGTAGACTAGGAGGAGAGTCACTGATCTAATAGTAGACTAGGAGGAGAGTCACTGATCTAATAGTAGACTAGGAGGAGAATCACTGATGTAATAATACACTAGGAGGGGAGTCACTAATCTAATAGTAGACTAGGAGGAGAGTCACTGATCTAATAGTAGACTAGGAGGAGAGTCACTGATCTAATAGTAGACTAGGAAGAGAGTCACTGATCTAATAGTAGACTAGGAGGAGAGTCACTGATGTAATAGTAGATTAGGAGGAGAGTCACTGATCTAATAGTAGACTAGGAGGAGAGTCACTGATCTAATAGTAGACTAGGAGGAGAGTCACTGATCTAATAGTAGACTAGGAGGAGAGTCACTGATCTAACAGTAGATTAGGAGGAGAGTCGCTGATCTAATAGTAGACTATTAGATCAGTGAGGAGAGTGCCTCATTCACAGAACTCTAATGGCAGAATTTAAAAAAATACGTATTACTGATGATATACTGTACATATACAACAAAAAGCAACTAATTAAAGATTAAAAACACTTGGCGTTGGACGTTCCAACCCTTTGTCAGGCGGTTTGTTAACTAGTAACCCTGACCCTTACAGTATGTATCCTAACCTTGCCCTATGACCCGTATATACAGTACGCTAACCCTCCTTCGCAGGTACATGCATGGTAGTTAGGGGTGGAAAAAATAGGTGAGCACGCGAGCACTGCTCGCAGGAAATGTTAAACAGCTGCAGGGAATTCGTTTGAATGAAGATTTGCTGTTAAAAATTTGAAGGAAACCTTAACACCCATGTCACACTATGAGCGCAACAACATATGGTTGACAGACATTATTCCTTGAATTTAAAATCATGGTCAGCTAGAACACTATATATTTATACACATGCAGATTTAGCACAAAAATACTTGTCAAATTTTTGTCTCCAGGTTGTGCTCTGAGGAAGAAAATTTTTTCCTGCCCTGAGTTCAGGCACTATAAACAGAGGTTAAATAGAAACTACACTGGACATTCACGTACGAGATACTAAGTTTGTACTGTACCATATTGTAACAGTTTCCTACAGCATTCAACATGACCAGCTAGGCTAGCCATATGCAATGGACTCATTCCATCATAACCCATTCTGTTAAAGGTGACCAAAATCAAACATTAGACATGAGTTAAATCTGTGTATGTTTGCCTGTGGTTATAATGTGTACAATAAATAAAGTACCTGCAGCACAATAGAACCGTCACTAATTACATAAATATTGAGCTGGTGTACTAGCAGCTCGCTATGTAAAGGTACTGTAAAAAATAAAGCTAGTTTTGGTCAGATCCAACTTTTTCGCAGCGAATTTTTTCGCTGACCAATCACATTGCCAAGATTTGTCTTTCGCTTCGCGCGAACAAATTAGCGTTTCTCACGAAGGTCTAAATCCGCCATTTTTGGGTACTATTTTGTAAACAATGTGAAAAATCTAAACGATGTGAAAATAATTTTTCAAATATTTAACTGTAAATCGATTTATAATGATTCTACTTACAACTATAGTTATAGAAAATTTCATTTTCACTGCTTACTATCCCTGTTCTAAAAAAGGTTGCCGCCCAAAAATGGCGGCGTAAGAAAGGCTAATTCACCTAGTGCAAAATGGGCTTAAGTTAATTAAGCAAATTAAAGCCTTCTTTTTGTAAATGTAGCTACAGTTACACTTACTTTTTATGATCAGCACCACTAGCCAAGAGAACACAAACTACGATCTCTTGTCCATAATAAGCTCCAAGGTGAAGTGGAGTATTCCCATTGTCGTCTGGTGAGTTTACAAAAGCCGCTAAAGACATAACATACGTTTAGCTTGTGCTTCAGCATTTTTGTATCAAGCTTTTATAAAATATCGCGAAATTTACGAAAAACATTTTGATCTCTGCCCATAAAAATTTGAAATGCATAAATTACCTAGTAATTTCCAATATTTTTGAAATTTAAACTGTTCGTACCCAAAATTTGGAAAAATTGCTTGAAACTTTGCATTTCTACTGATATTACTTTCTAATGGCAAAGTTTATTTTCTTATGGTCCTGCATGATCTCTTCATCCAGTTTAGGACAGCTGATAACATTTTGGTAAAATGTGAGCTGCTCACGATAAAACTTGAATGTCTTATAAACGAGGAACAATGTTAACCGTCAAATGCGAAATGCGATAATACAAAGAACAATTTTTAGACACAATTCGCAGTGCAAATGATGCTAAATGAAATTTGATTGGTTCGGCAACGATCATTGCGAATTGCCGTTTAGAATTGTTCCATATCTCATCATCTTTACGGGAAAACATGGGGAGCCGCAGCGTTCCTCCATGTTTGACGTGAAGAAAAGTTTATTAGATGGAGTTTTACAATGAACAAACGGCTTTGAACATGTCTGAATAATATTATTAGTGAGCTTAAACAAGCGACGTTTTCGTCAACACAGGCGTCATCCGAAAATTCGAATAACTAATGGCCCTTTGCCCTTATAACTAAAATTTCGATCTAGACAAAAATTTCATCATAGCTTTAAAGAGCATCACAAAATTAGTAATATTCCAAAGTTTTGTTGCAAAATCTTGTAAAATGCGGATAATATAGCCTTGCGAAGTTTGCCGTTTTTCAGTCATTTTGTATTACAAACGGGAAATTGACATACGATTCGGGTGTTGGGACTGCAATTTCCCGTTTGTAATGCAAAATGACTGAAAATTGCAAACTTCGCAAAACTCTATTTTCCTCATTTTACAACATTTCGCAACGAAACTTTGGAATATTACTAATTTTGTGATGCTCTTTCAAGCTGTGATGAAATATTTGTCTAGACTTGCCTAGATCAAAATTTTGGTTATAAGGGGAAAGGTCTATTTTTTGCGGCATTTGGCATCATAGCTTATGTTATTTCATATATGTTGAAGAGTACCACAAACTGATACAAACACAGTTTTTAACCCAGTCCCCCCTCGGCAATCAGACGTCTGTGTTGACAAAATCGTCGCTTATCCCTATAATATTGTCTGAACATAATCTAATAGTAGACTAGGAGTATTGTATGATATGTTCTTAGTCTAGTTCTTTGCTTACGAAAATATCTCGTTTGAACAAGAATGGAAACCGTTCTTAATTATTTAAGAACATGCATATCCAAAAAATGAAAATGAAGCAAAGAAATGCATGAAATTTCTTACTGTGTTGAAGTAAAGTTTGCGTCCGCTTATTTCTTCCACTCAAAGCTGCTAAGTGAAGTGGAGTCTGCCCTTTCTTGCACTGTGAAAAGTTAAAAAAAAGGAGTGCTAATTTAACAAAGGTTGACATAGATCCTGGCAAACAACTTTCAAACAAAACCAAAAATCTAGAATACTGTAAAATGTAATTTGATTCATTGCTTACATTACAATACTCTAAGACCATTTGAAGTGATCTCTTCAACATACAAGGGGCTTCGATGGTGCAATCGTTAGTAGAGCTGTGCAAACTCCGGTTATTTTAGCTCCGGCAGTCAAAACTCCGGCTCCATACCGGAGCTCCGGTACTCCGGAGCACAGCTCTAATCATTAGAGCAAGCGCCTATCACCTCTGAGATCGTGGGTTTGGTTCTCGCTGTGGGCTCATGACACTTACGTGAAACAGTTTGTCAACGCTCCACCGAAAGTCGTGGGTTTTTCTGCGTACCCCGCTTTCCTCCCACAGGGAATGTTGAAAGGGTAGGTTGGGGTTAGCCCCTAATTAACCCTTCCACCGTAGCTGAACTGGGTGTGCACCGTGACCAGATAGGTGTGCCAATAAGATGGGTGACAAAGGGGCCCGTAGAAAGCCATCGATCAGATTGAGCTGCGTTCTTATAGCAATTTAGCTTAGTTGCAAAACGCACCGAAGTTGTAATGTAAACAATGAATGCCGAACAAACTATTGTACTCATATAATAATTACATAAAACACAAAACAATAGACACTCCGAAAATTGTAAACATTTTCATTCTTTACGTTTCGCCGGACTATAATTTAAGTCATCTTCAGAAGAAATCTTCTTCTTGATTCTTCTGAAGATGACTTAAATAATAGTCGAAACGTAAAGAATGAAAATGTTTACATGAGTTTCTATTGTTTTGTGTTTTATTAAAATACTCTATGGTAATAATTACATATTCCACTATAACCTGGTAAATTAAACTAGATTTATTGTTCTCTCTGAGGCAAACTTGAAACAAATTTTACCTTGGAATTTGGAGTCGCTCCTTCGTGAAGTAAAATTTCCATTGCCATGTCAGCATTTTCAGCGGCTGCGGCGTAGTGTAGAGGCGTCTACAAAATAAAATATTTCAACATTGGAAAATTTCTGTGAATGGAAGTATTTAGTTTCTATATGTAAATACAGTATACGTCAATGAAACTCCAGCGTATATATATACTCTGTATTTGTACAGTATGAATCACCACCATATTCAGACCATATACAGCTCATAATAAGTCCTCTTCAAACCAGCAGCTTCACAGCGTACATGGGGTAATAAGGGCCATCGAATAGTCTCCCAACCCTCTTTACTACATTCTCGCTGACCACGTGTCTATGGTAGAGGGCCCTGTAGTAACAAAGAGAGTAAATGTACAGTAAATTGTTATAATTAATAGTACTTACCAAGCCATTCTTATTAGCGGCATTAACATTAGCCCCACTGTTAATTAACTCCTCAATGACAACATCTTGACCGTTATAACAAGCAACATGCAGTGGAGTATTACCCAAACTATTTGGATTGTCAACCTAGTAGAAACAATTCAGTGAATATTTTACAAATTAAACATAAGAAACTCGCCTCTTTCTTGTGGATGACTTTGAGATTTGACATTTAAATGTTCAAATGCTATAATTTATCAATTTATGTTTTCAAAGTAAAAACCCAACAAACGTTTGAACTTCGCAATGAAGTTCGTAACAAAGTGTGCAACATTTAGGGTAAAATATATATATTATAGTGTATAGTATTAAAGTGTATATATTATATGAAATCAACTGGAAGCAAAATTTCTTTCCACAGAGACAATGTTTCCAAGGAAGTGCAAACAAGGTGATATCATGCAAGGAAACATCAGAATTCTTAGATGCTTCCAGAACAATGTTTCATAGTTTGTCCAGTGCTTACGTCGTGGAATATTTGGCGTGCGGTGCGCTCCCCAGTTGACTCAATAGCTAAAGACTCTTATAAGCTTTTGGCACATATCAGTGGCATGCAGTATATAGATCAGTGGTTGGGAAAAAGGTCGGTTGTGACGCACGATGGGAAGGTGAAACAATATTCTCCACGCGCCTGATCAACTCTATCCATCCGAGTAATGTGGTAGAGCGTCATTCCGTTCACATCCTGCTGATTCAACGTTATGTGGACAAGACATTATAATGTAAGGCGGCATTAATATACTGTATATTGCCCAGTACGAAATTAATGTATAATGTATATTGTCCAGTATGAAATTAATGTATATTGTCCAGTACGAAAGTAATGTATAATGTATATTGTCCAGTACAAAATGACTTCGGTGTGGCCAAAAAGTACGCTTCTATATATATGTAATATCCTGTATTTACCATTGCTTCTGCATTGATTAATGTTCGTATAGCATTCAACTGACCACCAGCGGCTGCAGCATGAAGTGGAGTGTACATCTACAAACATAGAACGTATAACAATGAATGAGTACTTTTCTCCAATCATCGTGACTGGTTTGCTTATATTGCATCTAAAAGTTTTCAAATTGTACAGAGCTTCGGGTTTTAGGACGCACCCTATTATACGAGGGAAGAAACGAGCGTGTTGATAACAGCTTCTTGCCCGCACAAACGCATTTCGTCTCCCAAGTCCTGGTTTAAAGTCAGTGAGGGTCATTCATTTTGAGGGTTTGTGTTTCCCTATGAAAGACTTTCTCACGCAGATCTTATATTTTGAGGGCATGCAAATATAGCTCTGGAGACGGTTGAAAGAAGGCTGAATAGCCCTACCTACTGGGTACTAGTGATGTGTCAAGCATCATGGGCCATTAATCGGTATTAACCCAGATTAAAGTATACTACTTATAAACTCAGGTTTACAAGATTTCTTGTTGGTGGTACAGAGTGAGCCTCATCCCCAGGCTCCAACTCAGACGCGCGGGTTCGCCTGGGGACGAGGCTGGTAAAGAGTACAGACCGTGGCACGACGCGTAGTTTTCATGCTTTCCAGGCATTGCACTGTACAAAGGTTGAAAAGTCACTATCCGGTGCATACCGCTATCCGGTCTTCTTATACACATGCCCCTGCTGTGTACTTAACATACGAGACAGTTACCTTTCTATCTCTACAGTCAACTTCTGCTCCGCTTTCAATCAACATCTCAAGGCATGTGATATGACCTACAGAGTTTTAACAAACATCTCTTTAAGACCCTAAACCTCAAAATACGCCGTACTCTCCGATATATGTAATCCCACCAAGAAGATAAAAATAACAAGGGAATTCAGTGTGAATTTCCAGGGGTGCCGGGAAAACGAGGTAATGAAGCTGATTTATTGTAGGATATGCATCTGTTAATGGTAAAATATCTGTTAATGGTAAAATATCTTCCAAACTACCTATGACGAAAGGGGTTCCTCAGGGATCTATTCTGGGCCCCTTGCTTTTTATTGTCTTTATTAACGATCTGCCACTGTCTATCCCACATGGTGACATAGATATGTATGCGGATGATTTTACCATTACGACATCTGCGAAAACCATAAACCAACTCAATGAAAACTTAAATCAAGCTATGGATGAGGTCTCAAATTGGTGTAATGACAACAAAATGATGCCAAATACAGACAAAACGAAGTGTATGCTCATAACATCGTGGCAAAAACGGCTTCACATACCACAAAATGAAGATCTGTGCGTAAGCCTTAACGATATAGCACTGGAAAACGTTACTTCAAAACCGTTACTTGGCGTCACTATGAATCATAATCTGTCCTGGGAGGATCATATAAACACCACTGTTTCAAAGATAAATAGGAGTATAGCTCTACTTCGTAGAATTAAACGATATGTTCCTTCGTAGAATTAAACGATATGTTCCATTGTTTGGGGTGGTTCACCTCATGTTAAGAAGATCAATTTAGCTCAAAAAAGAGTAGTCTCCTACGCATACCTACTTAGCGGGCTGAGCCCTCACGTAAGGTATGCTTACTTTGGCCAAGAATTCCTTTCCTCAAAATTAGCCAATCACAGCTTTACCCACGAAAATTGTGGGGCTTGACCTTTGGCTTTGACCTTGAGGCTTGGGTCGTTAAACATTTCAAAACATTTATTAAATCTTGAACATTTTATATATTCATTTGTACGAATTCATATCTTAAACCGATTATATATGCGAGAGCTGAGAGATATATTTGTTATACCGATATACCAGTCTACAAATTTACAATATGGAACAATTGTAAAACTGTTAGAATTTGTCGAGCTATATTGTTTTGAACAGACAGTGTAGAAAAATCGAACAATATCACCTAAAATATTTCGCGATGTTTTGATTACTTTACAAGCGTTTGCAGGTGTTACTGTAACACGGGTAATATACTGGACAAAGACGTCAAGACAAAGTTTTAAAGTTACAGTGTACATTACTGCGGGTAATAGATTTATAAATACTAATTGAAGACGACAGAATTCAGTCTATATAAAATACTGAATTGATTCATTGCATATTTCGGTTTCTAAGTTTGTATATGACTAGCCAGTTTATAACGTTTAATAAAATCGTAATTACAAAAGTCGCTCTGATATTGAACGTTCGGAAACTTAGTACTATTTACAACATGAGCGGCCGTGTTGTATCGGATATACAAACTCGAGCCGAAAACGACTCATCTTATGAGTTCATTGGCGAAGTAATTTTAAAAATAAACGTAGTCTAAGCCGAGAAAATCAAAGTTAAAGTTTATGTAAATCAACATGAATCCGTATCACATATACAGACTCCTTCACGCCCACGATTTCTTTTGTGTTTTCTTCATGAATTATTAATGATATATATATTGTTAATAGTATATATTGAATATAATACATGCCGTCACGCAGTCGCGTCAAGTTCAAAACAAGTGTTACCAGGGAATAGCTTTATATACATTTAAGCCTTCGACCTATCGCGTACATTCGTTGGAAAAATATTCAATATTTTCTACTTCGACTGCTACTGATCAGAAAACTCGATCTGTTCACATTTAAGGCCATTTAAATACGTATATACCGTATTATTATTCGATTATCGCACGCTCCTTGTTTACACTTTACAGTTGACATTCAAAGTGGGCGTGTCTTGTGTATTTGAATGCTATTGGCTAATGGAATACAATGGGAAGGCGAATTGCTAGCGAAAGTAAGCAGACCGTACGTGGCGGGCCTAAACCCGCTAAAGTAGGTCTGCATAGGAGACTAAAAAAAGAGCAGCCAGGGTAATTTTAGACGGATAATCGGATCACGGATAATCGTTACCCCAGTAAAAACATGTATTTAACATTAAACTGGATGTCTATCGAGGATCGTATTAAGTACCGTAAAGCTAATAAGTTTTTAGACGTTCTCTGGTTTTTAAATATTTATTATTACGAGCTTTCGACTGCCAGTCTGCAGTCTTCAACGGGTGGATTACAATTTTGTAATCCTGGTTTCGCTTCAAACATATTTAAATACCGTAAAGCTATTATGGTCTACAAAAGTCTCAATTATTTATGTCCGGATTATATGACAAATATGTTTAGGTTTGTCAGACAAGTTCACACAAAGACAACCCGATCAAGCTCTGCAAATGATCTGTAATTGCCTCCAGGAAAACATAAACAGATATATACAAATACGTTTGGATACAGTAGTGTAAAGATATGGAACACATTAAGTTCAAACATTAGAGAAAATGTATCTCTAAACGACTTTAAGAGGAAATTTTTAACAAATTATTTTTTAACTAGTAACTGATAATATTTCTCTCTATTGTAAATAACTTCAACTCATATTTTTAACTAAAATAGCGAGGGCCCTGAGGAAGATAAGTCTTTTGACTTACCAGGTATATTAGCTATGTAATATTTTTAACCCTCTGTAAATAAAGTTTATTGATTGATTGATTGATTGATTGATTAGATCATATAGCATTTGTAAATTCGAACGCTGATTGGCGAAGAGCCGTGTTGACATAACTCAATGTCAAAACGGAAAATATCTTTCTTTATTTTTCTTTATGCTATATTACAAAAAAATATAAAACATTTTTCCACTCATGTTGATATCAACACGAAAAATGTTTTATATTTGTTAAATATCAGACAGTGCCCAGAGAGCCACTATACACATCATCCACTATACGATACTTGGTGTGAAATTTCTTTCCAGAAGAACCCATTGTCCCGAGCTTTTTCTTGTGCCCCTTGGTACTGTACCTCTGTGTGTTGGGGTACAAAAAGACAAGATCGTGACTAAGCCCCTATGTGTGCGTAAACCCATTCAAAGTGCTCGCGAATGAGAAAAGGTCCAGGGCTTGATACTGTATAATCAACTGTTTGTGACATACATGCCTTCAGAGTAAATACTGAAAACGGTTACAATTTCACAAACCGAGCTACAGAGTCCAGTTGCTGAGCCTTATTGATATTCCATTTAGTTTGTACCAATGATATTCCATTTAGTTTGTACCAATGTAATTCTATTTAGTTTGTACATTGATACAAACTAAATGGAATATCAACAATGCTCAGCAACTGGACTCTGTAGCTCGGTTTGTTAGAGCGCTGGACAGGGCCGCAGGTTCGATTTCTACAAGAAGACCCTACACAGTCTGCCTCGTCCCCAGGCGCTAATTAAAAAAATTGCGAATCACTATATGAAAGGTTTACATGAAGTAGTGCGTCACATTATAGGCGCGCGCAAAGGACAGTGGCTCAAGCCCATAACTCCCTGCGCTTGTTCGTCATGATGCACTACTTCATGTAAACCTTTCATATAGTGACTCGAATGAATTTCTTTATTAGCGCCTGGGGACGAGGCAGCTACACAGTACTGTACATGCAGTCGTTGTATTTTTCGCAACTGCTCCTGGTTAGGTATAAAAATGTATATAATTTTAGCCTTTAACTAAAATACGCCTACATATACAAGAGACCGGACGAATTCGCAATAGTAGAGGTTAAGATACCCCGGTTTCGGTGTACGGGTACGAGTAGTGTCATCTTGTTTTACTGATGTCTGTAATTCGATCATACTTTTTCTGTTTTCTTGCAATAGACAATGATATAATGCACAGGTACAGACATCGACGAAATTATTGCTAACCAAAATCATGCTACCTGGGGTATCTTAACCTCTCTATTACAAAAATTCGTTCGGTTCCATTTGTTCACACGGGAATTGAATCGGAACAGTAGTACTCTAATTCGTCCGTTTCATGTGTCCATGCAAGGCGAAATTGTGCAAATTTGAGTACGGTCTCTCGTGCACGTAGCCTAAAACAATGACAAGGTATGATACTATGATTCTCACCATTATATGCTGCCCAATGTATCGCTCGTTTTTCTCTCTTATCTGCACTGTTTACGTTCGCTCCGTTGCACAATAACGCATTAACCATCTTGAAAACATACGATTACAGACATTATAATTTGGCATTATGTGTGGGGGAAATGGTCCGAATTATACTGGAGACGAATCATTCGTCAAACGAACCAGCTAGAAAAGCGTGACACATATACGTGACTCATACTGGCAATAGTTATGTAAAAGGCCTAACAGAAAATATCCATGCGTGGTTCTGGTTTCCCGTTCAACTTTCATTTTTTCGGCTGACCCTGATGTTTTTGGATGTGGTTGGGCTGTTTGCTTACCTATACTGACACTATTTTTTCGTTGCTCGCTTTATGATACAATAGCGAGCTTAAGATGTACCAGGACGCGACTAAAAAACAGTCGCTAATAATTGGAGACTAGTCTTACTTTGTTTTTCTCGTGTCCCTGACTTTGTTTACCAACAACAATCCATAGTTTTTACCCGTGAAGTGAAACTGTGATAATAATAGCGGCAGTTTTTCGTCACGTCCGCGTCGTAGATTTGGTGTATCTTAAGCCCCCTAATGTGACACCAAAAACGGCGTTGCCCACAGTTATTGCGCACACTCAGGGCCAACATTGCTGACCGATGCCAAAGAAAAAAATATTTTAAAAAATAGTTTCCAACGCCTTACTACCAATCTTATTTTTTTTCAGGATATGAAAGGGGAACCCCAGATTTTTTTGGTAGGCCCAGAGTATGCGCATACTTGGTTTCGCTGCGAAAATCCACTAATTATACGAGTAACGAAATAGCCGGTTTTCCATTGTCGTTCGTCCCACATTTACACGCAGACAGGCAATTGCGTGTTTCACTGTAGTTATTATAACATACTTTACCTCTACGTGTCCATTACAAACTGCATGTTGCAAACTAGTCCGACCAGCGCGGTCAGTTATGTTGACATTTGGAAGATGAGGAATAAGTAACTCTAAAATAGTTGGAAGATGAGGAATAAGTAACTCTTTTCAAAACACTGACCGACACCGATGTGGTTAACCCGGATGCTTCAGACTTAATGTGCTTGACAGTTCATATAAATAGAGTAGTTGTTGGTTTGCTCCTGCGCTTCGAACGTTTTCCTCCAGGGGCCGGTTTTACGAAGGCCAAATAGCACGTTATCCATCGGATAGTGATTTTTTTCAAGCTTCTTAAAATTTTCGTTGATTGGTATAATCCAGATTAAACTTTAGTATTTATAAATTACAATTTCTTTTTATTAATTGCGAGGTCCAAATCCACGGTTCCACAACTTGTTCAAGCATTGTTAGAAAGATTAAAAAATCACTATCCGGTGCATGAATAGCCAGTAGCATAGCCAGCACTATGATTTAGTCCCGCTATGCAAATATTTTCGTGTTCATAGACTGTGAAAACAATCAATTTCTAAAGAAATTAATAATGATAATAATTTTGAATATGCATAGCGGGACTAAATTGTCGGGCTGGCTACGCCACTGTGAATAGCGCTACTTCTACTAGGAATCTTCTTCGCTACTTCTACTAGGAATCTTCTTCGCTACTTCTTCTACGAATCTTCTTCGCTGTTTCTACTACGAATCTTCTTCGCTACTTCTACTACGAATCTTCTTCCCTACTTCTACTACGAATCTTCTTCGCTACTTCTACTACGAATCTTCTTCGCTACTTCTACTACGAATCTTCTTCGCTACTTCTACTACGAATCTTCTTCGCTACTTCTACTACGAATCTTCTTCGCTACTTCTACTACGAATCTTCTTCGCTGCTTCTACTACGAATCTTCTTCGCTACTTCTACTACGAATCTTCTTCGCTACTTCTACTACGAATCTTCTTCGCTACTTCTACTACGAAACTTCTTCGCTACTTCTACTACGAATCTTCTTCGCTACTTCTACTACGAATCTTCTTCGCTGTTTCTACTACGAATCTTCTTCGCTACTTCTACTACGAATCTTCTTCGCTACTTCTACTACGAATCTTCTTCGCTACTTCTACTACGAATCTTCTTCGCTACTTCTTCTAGGAATCTTCTTCGCTACTTCTACTACGAATCTTCTTCGCTGCTTCTACTACGAATCTTCTTCGCTACTTCTTCTACGAATCTTCTTCGCTACTTCTACTACGAATCTTCGTCGCTACTTCTACTACGAATCTTCTTCGCTGCTTCTACTACGATTTTTTCCTTCCTCACCAAAAACTACTACACTGATCCTTTGTTGTTAAAGCATCCGGCAACAATACCATGTGTGAATGACATAAATAAATTATTATAATAAATGTTATAGATGTCTAATTTACCATGTCCTGAACAGTTTAACCAGATAATTTCACGTAGTAGTACTTACCAGCACATTTCACATGGTTATTTGCGGCTGCCAAGTGTAAAGGTGTTTGCCAGTTCTTGTCCCTCGCATTCACATCAGCTTGATGTTTAACTAACGACTTCACACAATCCTGAACAGAAAAATATTAGAACTACATGTGGAAAACAGTACAACTCATTATATCTCGATAATTTTTTTATCAAACATTGGGGGTCTTTTCTCGTAACATGCGTAATGTATTTGCAACAAATGAACAAGTAGTAGTATTTTAAAAAGTTTTTCATATTACGTTGGCACTGCAGAGAATGTCACTCGAATGTAGGGTCGAACTATAGCATTTTCAGATTTCAGGACCGCCGCTCTACCGATTGAGCTATCACGTCGACGGGGATTGGCAGCGAGTCCTAGACCTAGTGCACGAAATATTTCCGTGGCGTCCCAATGCTTGTCTTCGAAGACGTGTTGTGCATGTGCAGACATTTGTGTTGGGTTTCTCTTCAAATTACCAAGTTACAAATCTTCCCTAAAATTTCCCGTGGCTTTTCAAAAATTACAGGAAAAAAACAATATCTTTTCCACTTCTGAGAGGTTCAGATTTGATTTCCGCTACCGCTACCATTAATTTATATATCCGATTAACCAATCAGCAGGATGCAATAATGCACAATTTTTAGTCGTACCTGACTAGTACTCCAATGGTTATTGCCGCGTACTTACGCTGGTACAAACTTAAGAATGAAGGCGTAGTAGTCTTAAATTTGCAATAAATTCGAAATATAACTGTTGAATATTGTATCTTCTTGCTCTAGTACTTAAATATTAAGTTTCAAGATGGAACTTCTATTTGGAGTTTGTTTCCTACTTTACACATGAGGATGAGTTGTATTGTAAAAGCTGTCTACGACACTGACTCATAGTTTGAATGACATGAGTACAAAACATAATGTAAATTACAGTAGCACAGTAAAGAAAGGCTGAAGCTGATTTTCCACTGGGCGAAATGGATTATACGCGAAGTATAAGTATAGCAAACACAATTTCAGGCAATGTAATTTTTTCGCTAATCAATCACATTACAGAAAGCTGTTTTTGGTTCGCTTCGCGCGCAAACAAATTTGCTTAATGGAAAACCAGCTTAAAGTGAGAATGAACGCGATCTTCGTAAATTGTTCTGCACTGTCGTCTATTATTGTGAGGAATAACATGAAATTAGCTCAATTTAAACATACAGTGTTTCCAGAAGCACAAGCCCTGTGAAGTGGAGTTAACCATCTAGTATCCTTAGTATTCACCCGTGATCCTAGAAAAAAAAATGTTATTCAACTATTTTATACTGTAGCTGCATCAAATTAAAGGCACAGTTCAGCCTTTTGAATGATGGTTTTTAAGGCGCATTTCAGTCCTTTTAATTGAAAAAACTAACTAGGAAAATCAATTATGCACAATTCAAGATCAGCAAACTTAATGTTTTTAATATTTTAAAACATTTTTATTGTTAAAAACATTGAGTTTACTGAACTTGAATTATGCATAATTGTTTTCCAAATTAGTTTTTTCAATAGACAATTCCAGCTACTGTATATCGACTAATTTTTTATCTAGACAAGAAAGACGAAATATATCATTATAGCTTAGAACAGCATCCTAAAATTAGTAAAATTGTAAAGTTTGTTTGCGAAATGTTGTAAAATACGGAAAATATATAGCCCTGTGAAATTAGAAATTTTGAGTATTTTAGTATATAACGCGCGGTAAAAATAACCACTTTCGGCTCAAAAATGGTTATTTTTACCGCGCGTAATACTAAAATACTCAAAATTTGCTAATTTCACAGGGCTATATTTTCCGGATTTTACAACATTTCGCAACCAAACTTTGCAATTTTACTCATTTTAGGATGCTCTTTTGAGCTATAATGATATATTTCTTGTCTAGATAAAAAGTTAGTCGATAGCTGGAATTGTCTATTAGCAGTCAAGTTTTAGCAGTCGCGTTCACAATACACGGGAGCGAAATGGTTTGAAAACGTCAAACTTTCGTAGGTATAGGGATGCAACTACCTAAAAAATACAAACTAGCGAAATTCGACGTTTCGAGCGAAAGCCCATCCTCAGGAAGTTAGTAGCGGGGGTTTTATTATTTTTCACTTTACTGTAGCATTATTTTTATTATTTTTTATTTCTAAAATTGTTTTCACTATTTGAGCTCGTTTCGCGAACAGTGTGAACAGGCGTAAAACGTGACGTCATTGTTCCGTAGTCTTAAGGCGAAATTCTTCGCGAGAAATTGTGTCGGCAAAATACGGATGGTTGCACATGAGCGACTCTATTGAATTTCCCGCATTTGGTTCCGCTCATCCGTATCTTCCAGCTCCCTCATCCGCATTTTCACATTTGCCCACCGCTATCCGCACCCGCAATTATTGTAAAACAAAAAAGTTGGTACTTACCATTAACAATTAAAGTATTAAGAACTTCAATATCTCCTAAGTAAGCTGCAGCATGCAGTGGACTTCGTCTTTCATGATCCTATGACGGAACAGAACTTGTTCTGTTATATTTTATCATTACTGTGTTCGTGAAATATATTGAATAATTGATGAGGTTTGCACCCAATCAAATTTCAAACACAACGTGACTTGTAGTATACTTGTAGTAAACTCCATACAAATGAAATCATGCCGAAAATGTTAATTCGTTACAAGCACTATAGTGGTTTTAACTTGTGATACAACCACGAGTGTTTCACGAGTGTTTGTAACTAGTTTGTATGGGAACTGATTCATTTCACATATTGTACAGTATATTCAATACAACACTGACGGAGTTTTATATATTCAAGCCCTGATTCAATACAACTCGCGTCCGTGTTGTATTGAATACAGTATACGTGAAATGAATAATTTCAGGACAGGTGGAAACTACACTAGTTACAATCAATTCATGTGCAAACTACTGAAACTAGTATTTAGTGAATGGTGAACTTTATTTAGGCACGGAGGCCTGTCATCGAAAATGTGATGATCTTCCCAGGCACGGTAACATTTGAATTATTTACAATCTTTACAAAGAGAATGAGAAATTAAAGCTATATACATAACAAATTAATTCTACAGTCTATTTTTGAATATTTTTAGGGAAGTGGAATTCCCTAAAAAGTAGGGTTCTGTAGGGGCATAGCCACTAGAGGTATGCAAATCCGATCCGAAACCGATCGGATTCGTTCGGATTTCGGAACCAAAATATTCATTTTGGATCGGATTGATAAAGTTGTTTCGTAGTCGGATCGGACTTCGATATCCGAAATAAAATGAATTAATTATCCACGCATTATCGCAAGAATTAATTATCCATGCATTTATCAAAGCATTATCGCGGTTGTCGCTGCATTATTCGTTTGATAGTTCAATTGGACGTCACTTTGTCAGCTTCTTGACATGTATTTCTTGCTTTTATATTTATTTGGTTAAATATTTCAACTTCAATGAGAAATTTATTTTATTAAAGAATTCTTCGGATCGGATTGGATTGGAATTCTTTATCAGAACTCGGATCGGATCGGATTCGGATTAGACAACTTCGGATCGGATTTTAAGCATTAGGCAATTGTCCGATTATAAACGTCCAATCCGATCCGATGCACACCTCTATAAATAGCCACTGAAGCCTTGGTAAATTTTTCTTTGTACCATGTAGAAAATACTGTATGAAACTGCTTTAAAATTTGCAATACAAACACAATGTACTGTCCAATACCATGTTAGAATGTGTGGTTCAATACATGACAAAAAGTCTCTAGTTTACTAAATAAAACTGTTAGTGGTATTTACCAAAGAATTAACATCTTCTTTCCTGGTTATGAGAGAACGAAGTTCCACAGCATCACCTTGGAAACATGCCTGAACTATTGGTGACTATAAAAGTTTAAATAACTAGAGGTTAATTAATACAGTACATCATACACCAAAATGAGTTTGTTATACTGTAGTGTTGCAGACACTGAAAAGCATTGCATTAGCCATCAAGACAGTCTGTATAATCGCTCTGACTATGCACATTCAGTAAACTTGTGTGAACATGCACTATATGAATCAATAGTAGCATCGGGGCATTTTTTAACTATATAACTACTGGGGCATTTACCCCAGTAGGCCCTTTGTTTGCCCCAGTAGTGAAGCAAGATTCTCAGATGAACTGGGCCCTTTTGATCATTAGTAAAAAGTAATTCTTGTTGAAAAAGCTGCATCTGCCTGCTTTCTCATATCCTCTCAAATTCTCGACATTCCATCTTATAAAAGTCAGAGCAGTAAAGGGTGGTGCTAAACGGGTGGGTGGTGGATGGGTGTGGGTGTTAACACCCCCATTCGTCAGGTAGTCGACAAATTATCTAATCCAGGTAGGCTAGGAAGGAAAGAAACTAAAATATTTGAGTACACTGATTAAAAACTATTATTTATTACAAATTTCACCATTAAAACTTTGTTTTGAGCACAGGTGGCCCAATCTCGCAAGGGTCGGTATCGTAATATATATTATTGTAAAATATGTCATAAAATATAAATTTTAAAATGAAATTGACTTGCCTATTTGATAGTGCGTATTCTCCTTTTATTCCTCTTTTGTTGGACTATGTCTAATATTTTCCAAGACTTTGTAAAATATTAGTCCAACAAAAGAGGAATAAGAGGAGAATACACACTATCAAGGCTATCAAGTGGGCAAGTCAATTTCATTGTATAATTTATATTTTATGACATATTTTTACTATAATATACATTATTATACTGACCCTTGCGAGATTGAGCCGCCTGTGTTTTGAGATTTTTTTAAAATGTGTTCTCAGAATGCAGGAAATGCTATTTCTAATGCTATTTTATTTTATGCCAAATTTTAAAAATTTCCTGGGAGGTATGCCCCAGATCCCCCTAGCTAACTCGTGCCTGTGGTACTCGGCTCACACCTTCGGCGATCTCATACTATCCTGGGGGGAAGGCAAAGAAAATGGGCCTTTTGGCAGTTTTGCCCCACCACTGAAAAATCCTTAAAAAATGCACTGAGTAGCATGGCAGTTCTCAGAGGGAAGTTCAACTATAAAATAATGAGTTGAAGGGTCTTGTAGATGGAAATTATCCAGTGGAAATTTATATACATTTATTAGACCTAACCAGGAACAGTTGCGAAAAATGCAACTTTTGGTCCCTGGCAGGAATCAAGTTCTAACCACAAGTTCATGTATATATACTAGGACTCTGCAGCTCAGTTGTTAGAGCGCTGCACCGGAATCGCAGGACCGCAGGTTCAATTATTGCCAGGGACACACTGTATGGTTGCATCTTTCACAGCTTTTCCCGGTTAGATCTAATAAATGTATAAATTTCTACTTCACTTGATAATTTCCATCTACAAGGCCCTTCAACTATTATTCAATCGAGTGTGATGTCAACAAAATCTTGATATAAAATAATGAACATTTTAGGTATAGTATGACTAGATCTGGCTGCTTGTTTCACAGATTTAAGAACCTCTATGCAGTATGGTGTTTCCAGGGGGCTTTGTTGATGCAGTTATTAGATCAAGTGCCATTCACCTCTCAGATCATGTCTGACACAAGACACTAAAGACTTGTTTAAATGGACCCAACAATGTCCTTCGTAATTTATTTCAGCTGGAGGTACAGTATGGATGATTAGCACACTCCACAAACTAAACGAGGTAGTCTCACTGTATTTTTAAAATATTTTAAATGTCTTCATTTGCATATGAGATACAGTACAATTTCTTCAATTAATTTAATAAATACATATACAGAGAATATGTTGATACAATGTACATATATGTACCTAATGGTAACAAACCAAACATTGTACTGTTTGTATACAGTAATTGCTAAAATCAAGTTCACTCAAGCCATTATTTTAAAACGATTTAAGATCCAATTACAATGGGAACTATAAGAAGCACAGACTGACTAAACTTTCAGTCTGCAGTAAAATAGAATTTTGTTCCTTTTTCTTCAGATGTCTTGTCAGTTTGGGAAAAGCCGAACGATAACAAAGGTTGAAGTTTGAGGAATTAGTGGAGCATACTTTGCCTTACGAAATTAGGGAATTCATTTCGGCCCACGGAGGAGGTAGGTCACATATGACATCCCTGCATCTTGTTATCCCATGAAGCCATAATCTGTACAAATGGGCTCTACATTGTTATTTACTCAAAATGCAAAATGACTTTACTCATCAATCACAAATTGCAGCCACAAATGAGCAAATCTTAATTGAGCATACACATATTGTACATTGAACATTGAACATTTATTTAAACACGGTAAAATCTTCAGTGTAGAATAAAATACAAAAACTATTAATAAATTTCACACATCACTATATACACACTAATTTCCTAACTAAAATGCACTGTTTTCCAAGATTGCCGTGTGGGGATCCCATTATAATGTCAAAAATTGATTAATTTCATTTTTGAAATGCCTCAATGATTTGGACGTACGTGCAGTTTGAGGAAGCGCATTCCATAAACTTGCTCCACTGTAGCAGAAACTACGCTTCATAAAGTCCGTACGTGGTTTTGGTAAATTTAACTTCATTTCTGCATTTCTTAAGTTATAATCTGTACTGCGAAATGTAAACATGTTTTGTAAATACTCTGGCGTTAGCTTATTGATAGTTTTAAACATTAGTATAGACTTGTGCTTTTTCCTACGTAAGGAAAGATTGTCCCAATGCAGTTTCTCTAAGAGAATGCTAGAGCTGACATCGTAGTTGGATTTCGTAATCACTCTAGCAGCTCTATTCTGCAATTTTTGCATTTTTTCACATAATGTTGCGCCAAATTCGTCCCAAATGGGACTACAGTAATCAAAGTAAGGTTGAATTATAGCGTTGTAAATTTGGATTGCTGTTTCAGTTGATATAAATGGTTTTATTCGCTTAAGAGCACCTATAGCGGAAGAAATCTTTTTACACTTCATATCAATGTGTTTAGACCAAGACAGATTTTTATCAATAATTACACCTAGTGATTTTGCCTCATCAACTTGTTTAATCACATGACCATCCAGGTCAATATTGATATTTTCGTTAGTGTGCGCATGCATACGTTGTCGAGATCCTATTATCATAAATTCTGTCTTGGCGATATTAAGGCTTAATTTGTTCGCTTCCAACCAGCTTTTCAATTTTTTAATTTCGAATTAATAACATTTTCTAGTTCGGCGATAGTGTTGGCCGCATAACTAATGTTCGTATCATCAGCAAACATTCTCGGTACTGCTGCACTGAGACAATTAGGAAGGTCGTTAATATACACAAGGAAGAGTAATGGTCCTAAGTTACTTCCCTGCGGTACACCACGTGTAACTGATGCAGATGATGACAAGCAACCTCTAACATTACATTTCTGAGATCCACCGGTCAAATAAGACTGAAACCATTCGAGACTTAATTGATCCATACCGTAAATTCGAAGCTTCCGCAGTAATATCTGATGATCAATAGTATCGAATGCTTTTTTAAGGTCGATAAATATTACTCCATTGAAGAGGTAGAGGCAAACTGCAACATGATTTCATGAAATAGTAAGCAAAGTTTTTTATTTTGTTGGTAATATTTTGAGGTTATAATCCTTTAATTTAGTGGCAATGCATCCAGATGCACCTTACTTTATTATTTCATTTTGTCTAATGCCAACCAATTATACTCAGACTACTCAATCTTCGGGAGAGTGCTGCCATTCAATGGGTTAATAAGAAAAGGCTAAAACCCAAATTCAGTCTTAGGTGACTCAAGAATAATTAAAAACACTTTAAACTTGTTGCAAATAAGTCAAAGTAAAGCAATATAAAAAGCATGCAAAAATTTTGACTAAGCCCACAAATGCTGTACGATGAATAATCAGCAACATGGCCATTTTTCTGTGCAACTTCTGCTTGCAAGGAGCCAAGGACATTGTTGGGTATCGTCGATTGATTAGGCAAATATATTTCCAATCCCCACCATTTTGTATACCATGGTTATTCATCTGACATTGGAACTTACATTCTATGACTATAGATCTGACATAATAAATTACACATGTGTACATACAACATTCACATATTATGGATAATTTTTTCCTGAACCTGCTCCGTATCCTAACCCTTTACCCTAACAGTACCATAACCATAACTGGTCCTTATCCTAACCATTCTGGCCACTTGTTTGCCAACCTCGTACCCAGGGTCCCCGTGTTTAAAGGTTCTGGTGCACGTGGAGGGACCCTGGCAAACTCTGACTGCCAGGTTACCAAATAATCCAAAAATCTTGGAGTATTTGTCGACCTGGCCTTTTTTAGCATTGGCATAACGGGGGGGAGGACTCATAATAAAAAATATTTCACAAACTGCAAGTTTTTATCAAAGTCAGCTGTTTAAAAGGATTTTTATTGCACCTGTCGTACGATTTATCAAATTTTGATATCATAAGTGATATTTGAAGTGGAAAGTCATTCAATTACTGGTTAATATCGAAGAATTTGAACTCATGATCCGCCATCATGCCATGGAAATATATAAATCTATATACCGAGCTCTGGTTAAAAAAACCAGGTACTGTGTTAAATACCACCATTAGGTAACAAATATATTCTCATACTGTATATAATGTTTACTCAAATTTGAATGTCTACAAATTGTTCTTTCTCATTGCAATTTGTGGCTTCTTATGCTATGCTTTTCAAGCCATGGAAAGACTTCATGTCAATTTTAAAGTCCACTTGTTGGCGTACCTTGGCTTTCTCTCAAATGGTTTGATCTTCTTCGGGTCCTGTACCATTATTACTTACTTAGTCTCTTCACATCTTAGATCTGAGACCTTGTTCAAAATTTTGTGAAAAGAATTTGATGACTTGAAGTACAAGAGGAGTCTCTTCTTGTTGATGTTGTTTCTTAATTAGCCATCACCATCTTTGCATGATGATCATGCAGTTGCATCAAGAACACAGCTAGCTCTATCATGTTTAAACCATAGAACCTATCATTGTTTGAAAACATTTACACCATAATTATTATTCAAACTGCCAAGATGACTAAGTATCAGACAAATTGAAAATTAAAGTTATAGCAATTTCAAAACTGAATTGAATAGTCAAGTTGTTAAATTATTAATTAATATATTGTTTAATTTATATATTATATTAATACAGTAAATAATATTTAAGTTTGAGTAAACATTATATGCAGTATGAGAATATATTTGTTACATAAGGGTAGTATTACACTACCTGATAGTGTTTTTTTTTTTATCCAGAGCTTTGCAGTATAGCATATAGATTTATACATTTCCGTGGTGGATCATGAGTTCAAATTCTTCTATATAAGCCAGTAATTGAATGACTTTCCACTTCAAAATATTACTTGTGATATCAAAATTTAATAAATCATGTACCAAGATCAAACATATTGGTTAACCCCTTATGCGGCAGCACTCTCCCCTTGATGAGTAAAATCATCTGGTGTTGAATCATCTGGCATTAGACAGAGTAAATAGTAAAGTAGGGCGCAATGCGACTCAGTGGGTTAACTGGACACATGGGCAGTTAGGCCAGTTAACCATTAAGCGCCCAGCATGATCTCCCCTTGATGAGTAAAATCATCTGATCATTCTGGTGTTGAACAGAGTAAAATAATAAAGTAGGGCACGCAATGCGACTCAATGGGTTAAAATTTAAATGCCAGCCAAATTTTAAACAGCTGACTTTGATAAAAACTTATATTTGTAAAATATTTTTGATTTTGAGTCCCCCCCCCCAGTATGCCATTGCCAAAAAAGGCCAGGTCAAAGATTTTTGATTATTTGGTAACCTGACAATCGCAGTTTGCGTTGAGTTAGTTGTTTCAAAATGTGACCATATTATGTCAGCTGAAGATATGTTTGTGAGCTTTGAAATTCAGGATATGCAGCATGCATATACCAGTACTTTTTTTAAGATAATTACTGACCTTTGTGAGAAATAGGTACAAGTTCAATTACAATTTGTTATGTTAGTTATATATTATAGTTTCTATTTTTGAGTGATCTATTGCCAGTATGTATAGTATAAGACAAACAAGCCCAAGCTTTTCCTTGTCACATTTTGAGCTGGGTTGTTCATATTGAATAAAGATCGCTTTGGGGGGGGGGCTGACAATAAATAGATTTTGTTTTTCATTTGCGAACTTGTCCAATAAAAGTGGGAAAGGGTGTTATATCATACAAATAAGCTGCATTGATCACAGCCGCTGGACGGCAAAGCATGCATGTTTGTAGATAAGATTGTACTATATCTATTATAAAATTTAACTACAATGAACATATAGACCTCCACTCATCCGTGATGGGAAAGGGGGTTGAAACAATCGCAGAACAAGTCTGCAATTGAAGGACAATTTATTTGTCGACAATCCCTATTAATACAAGTATAAACTATATGAGGATTTTGTTTACACATTACTGTACATCATAATTATATGAATTATATATTTAAAATTTCTACATGCATGTCAAATTGAAAAATTCCACAATATAATAACATAGACATGTGCTTTAGAAGTGGTATTTTCAAAAATCAGCATCAATGATGCTGATAAAAAAAATAAGGACAGACAAAATCAATTTAAAAATTTAAGAACTGTATTTCAATAATAAAATATACATACAATTTATACACTTAAGTAATGCATAGCCTTGCCAGTCAGGTTCTTTAAAATAATTAAAGTTGTCATCTTTTTTATCCAATAATGAGTCCATTATAGGCTATAATTTATGTATCAAAGGATTCAAAGCATTCCTGTCAATATTAAATAGACTTTTAGAAATCTATCATAAATAGCCAATCTTTGATTGTGATTCATCTTTTTAAATTGTCAATCGGAAAATTTTCATACTTCTTCCGTTCTTCGAATCCCTTCGATAGACAAGATTAGCAAAATTATGTAGATTGCCGCCGCCAGTAGGTTAACGAAATTGTAAGAAGAATCTTTGTGTTTATATATCTTTTATTTCATATTCTGTATTTATTTGCATTCGCCCTTCGCGAAGTTTGCTTGCACAGTGAAAGTGGCCATCGCCCCCCGGATCATAAAGTTACAAATTACGTAATCTTCAAGATTTGTGACGTCACGCAATCAGAGTTTGCCAGGGTCCCACTACGGGGACCCTGGGTACGAGGTTGCTTGTTTGCAGGAAGCAGAAATCGTACACATACGCTTGAAATTTCACTCCCAAGTGAATAGTGTGTAAACCATTAAACCACTTGAATTCCTAAACCACTAGGAATTGCTTGAAATCAACTGAAATCGATTTGGTATTATTTCAACATGTAAATTAAAGAACGAAGAAAACACTTTTTCCGGATGAACAGCATCTAAATATTAAGACCTGGTGTGTAAATATTACCACTGTGTATTTGGTAATTAGGCTGTTGCGATATTGAAAAAATATCGAATATCGATATTGAAAAAAAATTATCAATATTATCAACATTTCGATATTTTTCAGTATTCATATTTAAAAAATTAATTATTGATACTATATTCGCATTTTGTAAAAATATATTTACGGGTTAAATCATTTTAATAATAATAGTTGCTCGCTCTTAGAAACTTTGCAACGCACGCATAACTACGTTTACAAGTCAAAATGTCAGATAAATTACGGTTAATTATTACTGAAAAGGCAAAACTATAAAAATATATTACAAGTCCCATCATATGCATTATACCATTTTATAAAGTTATAAACCAAGTCCACTAAAGTTCTCTGCCAAAAATACTAGCATATTTGCTTGTTCAGATTTAATTTGTGCTCTTTGTGAGCTTATGACTTGGCCGGCTTTGCTGAAGAGTCTCTTGGACGATGAACTACTGGCAGAAATAGCCAAATACTTTTGAGCCAGTTCACTTAGTAGTGGAAATTTTTTTATGTGACACCTCAACTATGCTAGAGAGGGTCGTCGTTGCCTTCTATGGTTGGGATTTTCTTGTAATCTTCTATCTCTTGCGTGAGTTGCAACTAATTGCAACTTTGACGATGACTCATGCAGCAAACACACACATTCGTCACAGTGACACATTTTAATGAAGCAATAAAAGCTCATCAAGAATAAATTAACAGAAACAGGAAATTCCTTAGACTCACAATACTAACAATAAACGCAACTCGAAAACAATAATTTACCATTGACAAGAGTTAAAACATAACTGTTTATTGACATTTATCGAAAAATCAATATAACTTCGATATTTTTCGAAATATCGAAAAGTAAAATATCGCAATTTATCGATATTTTGATATATCGCAACAGCCTATTGGTAACAGGTGTTTATCAAGTTTGATTTGCCTGATTTGGGAATCAAAGTACGGTAACGTTAGGTTAAGTGAATGCAATCAGCCTACATTAATTCACATATATAGGACTTCCAAATGCAAATTCGCATCAATATTTATGCATTGTCCTGCTGTGTAAGCCATGTCAGGAAACAGCCAACAGACTAAGAATAAACAAAATATTTTCTGAAATTATATTATGTATTTAAAACCTCCAAAGAAAGAAAGAAAGGAGAATAAGACATATTTTTGTACAATAATATACCTTATATGAACTTATAATAATTAAGGTGATTTTAAATATCCCATTGATATTTAATTGGTCGGAAATCGATAAATTTCATACTTTCAAGTGTTGAAGTGCATTGTAAACACCAAGTAATAATACTTCCTAGCAATGTAATAATTTCTCTATAGACCACAAAAAAAATAGTATAATAGCGAACAGATACCCTAGATTTAACATTGACAGTTTCATCTCACCTCATCTGATAACTGATGAATTACCATGACCGCCTTTCAAAATTAACATCGGATGCAATACCAACTTGAATACAGCAAATTAATAGCTTGTTTTTATTGATAAATTATCCATAGTCTTCCACAATGAGTTTCGATTGCAAATATTCTGTTAACTACAGCACTGGTAAAAGTTGCTTTCCATCAAGTGAACAGTTTCAAATAAATTCGGTTCAATATATTTTCACAAAAATTCCGCCATCTTGATTATCTTCTTGACAAAACGATATTGTGAGATAGAGCACGCAAACATTCCTGTTACGGCACGTTACGAGTACCTACGAACCATGGCACGACTAAAGCCGATTTTCCACTTCAAGCGTACGCACCGAAACGTATCAAAAACGATTTTAAATTTCAAAATTTCGTGAATGTTGATTGGTTAGTACTTCCGTAGTACGCAAAAAAGTTGACTTGCGACGAACTTTTTATTCTGATACGCGAATACATCCGGAAGTACGTGGATTTATAAACCTCTTTCAATGTGCGCATGCTCATCAGTACGTTTCGGTACGATACGGGCGAAGTGGAAAACCGGCTTAATTTCTGCGGATCCGCGCGCAATCCAGGCGGAATCTCGTACCAGAACTGGTCCAGGCATCAGTTGAGTGGATTCTTTGGCTCTGGGTCGGTTTTAAGGGGTTTGGGTTGAGGCGCGGCCTCGCCTCCTTAATTTTCACTGCCCGCGCCTCCACCCTAACCCTTAAAACTGCCAGCTACGCAGGCTACAGAGCAGGGCTCTTTTATATAAGCGCCCTGCAGCTACTGAGGTTAGCTGTCCGTTAGCATGCCCGCGGATCAATGTGGTTGTAAATCATGGCGTGGCGGCGGTTACGCCCAAATCTGTGCCAAAATCATGCGTTGACGCCGACAAGAAGTCGAACTGCGTGTGTTTATTCTGTAGTAGTACGTAAGCTTTAGGGATTATTTCCTTGATCAGTGCCGTAGCAAGCTCGATAATTGGGGCATATTCATATATTCGTGCTCACAGACCATAAGAACAATCGGCACTGTTGATTGTTTGCTGTATGTGGCGCCGGCGATTTTGAATAGGGCAACTTCATAATTTGTGAGTCACAATACACCCTTCCGGAAAGTACCTCGTTTTCGTATATGTGGCATTAGTTAAAGCCTAACGTCTCCATCAGGAAAACAAGCGTCTATAACAAAGGTCACGTACACTCGGAAGCGTGTACTTGACTTTGAAGAGGCTTAATCGGGTTGTATTGTATTTGACGAAGTTTAAAATTTTCATTTTGCCGACAAGGGGGTGTCACAACCACACAGATCAATTGACCAGCAGGCCCTGGGTACGAGGTTGCAATTGATCTTCTGTTACTGTTTCTGTTAATGTAAATTTATACGGCCAAACACTGCAAAATATTAACGATTCCTAGAAAAAGAACCGATGGAATAGTCAGTCGGCATGTGACCCGCCCACCAGTGAAGTGGGCTTGGAACAAAAAATGTTTTATTACTTTCTCCTTTCCTCATGTTCAAGGCATTGACCTTAAAATTTGCAAGTTCAGTAGTTTAACCTTGGAAAAGGCTGGAGAGTGGAGGTACCACTATTTTACCTTTCACAAAACAAACTAGATTTTTTGGCAACTACAGAGATTGAACAAGGCCGCCTTGCGATTGCTATACAACGGACATCGACCACAAAACTATTCAGTTGAGTAGTTTAACCAAAGTGTTTGGGGAGGGTAACTTATTTTTGGCAAATTGAGTATCCACAATTTATGGTGGCTGGAGTTTAGCACCATTCCCGAAATACAGTTTTAACAACTACGTGGATTGTAGCAGCAGCCTTGCAATTTCTGTGGAAGGCTCTCACCACAGAGTTACCAGTTTCTGGTTGGAGGGAAAGGGGTAACCAGTGGAGTTTTCCAAAAATTACCCATCATGATGATATTAAACTCCAAAGAGTTGAAATTACCACCATTTCCTGATTTCACCTTTCCAGGAAGAAAAATACTGCACGCATTCGAAGTTCCAACTTTCTCGATTTCATCGGGACGTTCCCGATTTCTATAGACTTACCTCCCAATCTCCCGATTTAAATTTACGCCTCCCAACTTTTATCGTTAATTAAATCTGAAAACTTTTTCGTTAAAACTGGATGTGCATCACAGTTAAGAATTTATCAATGAAATCCTGGCTAATAGTTTTCGTTAATTATTTAGCTGCTGTGGCTTGAACTTTAATTCTTTTCAGCTGCTTCCAGCTTAATTTTTGAAAAAATCATTGTAATACATCATTAGGGCACTGTTTAGTTCTTTTTTTATGAATATGGTTATTCACACCAAGTAACCTACTTTTACTTTAGTTGCTAAAAGAGGTAAAAAATCTACCATAATTCACAGTACACACTGAGTTATGACTGCTTGTTTCCCCCCTAATAACTCTACTTTACAGAATAAACTACCTTTATAACATGTTTGTTAACTACACATAGATGCCAATGAATCTTTTGCAAAGTCATGCACATGTCTTCGTAACAAAGTATATACATCCTGACAGCCTTGTTTTGCAAGATTAAGGACTTTTTCTAAGTTATCTGCATGTAATTTGGAATCGAGCCTGAAAAGCACAATCTTCTCAGACTTTGGTAATATTGCAAGTGTCAGTTGAGGTGCACTTGATGATTCCTCGAGATAGTTTATGTCCAAGAGAGCTGAATCATTGATGAAGCTCACAGCACATGAACATACGTAATCTTTCATTGGAATTCCAGCATCGAGCAGTGCCAGAGTGGCTGCGTTTATACAGGCACTGTAGTTACCTCCATCTGCTTGTAAAATCTGCAATGAGAAGATGGGGATATAGTGCTTTACAATTACCAGTATAGTGGTATATGCAGATTTGAAACTCAATGGCTTTCCATCGTCATAAATTTTATTAGGATCCGGTAGAAAATAGAGAGCGATAGATTTGATATCAACATGGACATCACACATCACAATTCCTCCAAGGCAATTCTTAATTCTGAGCTGACAGGAAAATTAGGGAGATAAAGGTAGTCGTGTTCTCTCTGTAATTTCTCCCACCTGCTCAAAATTAGAGAAACACCTGTGGATGAAGTGGTAACTGAGAAATTCATTTTGGTGTCAGCATATTGTAACTAATTCTAGCAACAGCATTCTAACTGACAAATAACAGAAATGTTCAAGGAGGGTCTAGATGGGGGTCTGAAAATCAGTAAACAGTAAACATTTTTGGTATTTTACACCCGTTTTCAAAATTACGCGACCTCCCTGAAAAATACTCCTACTTCAAATGTCAGTTTTATGTCACAAGAACTGCTAAAAATAGCAAACGTAAACAAACTGTCTAAAGACATTTTAAACCGTATTTAATACCAAAACTGAACAAAAATGAGTCAGATAACTTAGATATACAAACTAAAGCACAATACAAACCATCACAACATAAATATGTGCCGTGAATGACTTTTAAAGTTTGAAAAATAACAATTTATCCTGGAAAATAGCTGTCAGTATAAAACATGCGCGCTAGACTATAACGGTGATGTTATGATTTTGTCGTGCTTAAATTTTACAATAATTCTTACTAAAGTATCTTGAAATCATTGTAAGTCTGTTTATATAAAGCAGACAAAGCATATACATTGACAAGGAACCGCAAAACTCAAAATTTGAACTTCGTGATCGAATGACATAAAACTGACATGTCAACTCTAGCATTTTCGTCTTTGTGGTCGCGTAATTTTGAAAACGGGTGTAACGGTAACAATAAGTAAAATTTTGGTATTTTAACGGTAAATCTTTGAAAAGTGTTCTGAAACGTTAAACAGTATTTTTTCCTCCTTCTAGATTTGATCTTCTAGATTAGACTTCTAGATTTGATCCGGATACTGTATTTCCTTTTTATTTTTTGACAAAACCTACATACTGTTGATGCTTTTATCACTAATTTCACAGATTTTATATGAGCTAGTAACATTTACAGCAACCCAAATAAAAAATAACCAAGTGACTAGACACCCGGCAATCACTTCGTATTTTGTAGTAATATAAAAACTTTTGTTGTTTGTGGTAGCTTTCAGCAAGCTTGCCTTTAGGGAGTGGTAATTATTTATGGGGAGGGTTAGTAAATGTGGAAAACAAGGATTGACAACTTTTTTGACCCCCCTCTAGACTGAAGGCAAACTTTTTGTGCCCCCCCCCTCATAAAAGTAGAAACTTTTCTGACACTCCCCCCCCCCAGTGTGGATTGAAAAATTAACAGAAATGAAACAGGTGTGTGTTGCAGGTAAAGTTTGATATTAGGACAATCTGTTTAATCTGCTCATGATGTTTTACCCTGGTGAATATGATCAACCATATATGATTAAAAAATATATATTATGTGTTTACTCACTTACTACTTTGCAATGCAACATTTGTCCTACCATAACCCTAAGCCATGGCCCGTCTTGATACAGCGAAATGATTTTCTGGGGGGTGGAAGTTTGGTGTGGTATCGTATGTACTAGTAGGGGGGTCTGGGGGTATTCTCCCCCGGAAAATTTTTTGTATTTTTCCACCCCTAGGACTGAAATGTGAGCATTTTGTGAAACAGATTTTTGGATATACAGCATTACATTGTGCTTTGATAGACCGAATCTGATCAGTTAAGTACTTGCATGGTATGTTTATGTAAATACCACAACTGGGTCACTCAGGGGGGAGGAAGCTTGTTAAACTTAGTGGGCTCAACTCCCACGAGGCGCTACCATGGTTGGCGCCGAGCAGGGAAATTTTGAAAATTTTGAGTCTCTAGATCGTTGGAAATGGCATTTTCAGAGTCTTCTTTTTGCTATTTGTGATTATAGAAATCAGAACTCTAGACATGGTATTTAAGTTCAAAAACTTTTTGACCCCCCCTTTCTCTGTGTTAAAACTTTTTTGACCCTCCCCCCTATTTATAAGCATAAAACTTCGTTTGCCCCCCTCCCATTTACCAACCCCCCCTCCCCATAAATAATGACCACTCCCTTAGCATATACGGTAAAGGTGCTGCATGCAAAAAGTGAAACTCAGCGCGGATCGGATCCTACGCGGAGTGTTTGTCTGACTTAGCATTTTTTCTTAGCCTTTTTTAACTCTCAAAAGTTAGGCCAGTTAGGGTTTGGATCGGCGATTTGGTATAAAAGTGATTTACATGTAATTTAAAAAGTTTTAATAATCCTAATAATTGTGATCGTGGGCGCTGA